GGGGGAGGCGGGGGGAGAGAGCAGCATTTCTACATTCGCTTAATTGGCTTAGTTCCTCACACACGATGGCTTTAGTCGCGTTTCTTTATGTTATAATGTGGTCGCAAATGACCAAGCGTGAGACTGGGATGGGGTTTCGGAGTGCGGGGGACAGGCAGGGTGGGACAGGAGGGGGACTGCTTGGCAGTCCCTCGCGGTGGCCTCCAGAGATCCAAAGATGCTGGGAGCCCCCTCCCCCCACCTACCCCCTTTGCCCGAAAAACACCCCTCGAGGGATGGGGCGCCAGAGAAACGTGGGTTCTCAAAAACAGAGCTCGCAGGAGTCGATGCACAAAGGTACTTAGTGCGGACCTAGCCTCGCTCCGTGGATACCGCTCCGCCGCCGCAGGCTCCAGCTCAGTGTGCACCAGCCAAGTGTAAGTTCATCAACAAATGCCCTGCTGCTGGCTGCGAGGGCTGCCTCCCTGTTCTGTTTTTGTGTGGAGGGTGGAGAGGGAAGGGTGGAGGGGTAGGTGGGTGAGGAGGGGGGACCCGGGGGCTTAAGGAGGTTTGCTTTGAATCTGCACCCAGCGGCAATGTCTGGGAGGAAATGGTGCTCTCTGCTCGGAAGTCAGGCTGCCCCGCCGGAGCCAGAGCAGGAGAGCAGCGCGGAGAGCGGGGCTGAGAGCTGAGTGTAGCCGCGGCTGCAGCCCGGGCTGAGCTGTCCAGCGGCGCAGGTGCTGAAGCGGGTGGAACACGGGGTAGGTGGGCGAGGGCTGGCCCTGGCGACTTGGAGGGAAAGCAAGCATGCCTCCTGCGTTGTTGTTCCAGTTTCTGACCGCGTGAGTCTGTGGGTCAGCGTGTGTGTGTGTGTGTGTGTGTGTGTGTGTGTGTGTTTTATTTCAATGGCGAGGAAGCCAAACTAAAGGAGATTTTCCTCAGAAAGCCTTGAAAAGCTGTGTGGGTATTTGTGCTGTGATTCGGAGATGCCATGTATTGTGTATGCATGCGTGTGTGTGTCTATGGCTTGATACCATCCTTTTTTCGTACAAAAGGAATATTCCATTTGCTAAACCAACAGCTGCCTGGATAATGTTCTTTCTTGTTTTCCTTTTAATGTGAGTTGAGATTTAAATGGAAGAGTTCGGAGCAAATGGACACTTTGCTCACAGACTATTGCCTTACTTTCACTCAGGGCTTTTGTTTCTAGGAGTTCAAGCTGGAGAGAACCTGTCAGCTTTCTGTGTGTGTGTGTGTGTGTGTGTGTGTGTGTGTGTGTGTAGCATGCCTAGGGAGGCGCTCCCCTTTATAGCTATGTTAGGTAACAGGACTCACTAATTTGTTTAATTGGCATCGGTCTTCTTGTGAAAGGTGTACTTAAGAGTCACCTGAAAATATTGCAAGATAGGCTCCTAATGGGGCGGTACTGCTTTTGAGTTCTCTTGGGCAGCAGACCTTGAATGTGAAGCAACTGGTCGTAAAAACCTAGGATTCATGTTGACTTTACTGTCTGCAAGTAACAGGTCGGGAACATGCGGAGCTGGTGTGTCTGGAGAAATGATACATTAAAAAATAATGATAAGAGCCAGCCCAGCCTAAGTGCCCTAAATTGCAACCAGGTCAGTTAGCGATGAGTTGTGGTGGGGGGAGAATGCTGTTATATAATTACTCCTTGATGAAGAGCTGTTTGCACTTACATAATTTGAGGAATCATAATGTCTATGGCCATGCTGCCATGTCCCCTCCCTGTTCCGCTCACATGGATGCACGTCCATGTACTGGAGAGTATGGGGGAAAGCTAATTGAGAACTTTCGAATGGAGCTGAGCCCTGTCTTGGGTAGTGACGTTGCACCTGCCCATTCTGTGTAATGAACAATAAACCCCTATTATCAGAATACTCATGCCGGGTCCAAGACAAAGCTTTTCCACTAAGAACCATATTGACCCTCAAAGAATCACAGAGCTCCTCTCTCGGAAAGCCAGCATTACAGTCACCGTGCAAATGAGTTGTCATTGTTTATCTTTCTTACCACGATCTTTATGAAGACAGAGAGCACAGGGTGTTTCTGTCCAGGTGTTCACAGAGATGCATCCGTCCTGTCTATGTAGAAGGTGGGCTAGGGAAGTACACTTACATCATGGGACTACAGAAACGGCGCCGAAATCATAAAAACTCCACCAGCTTGTCAAACTCAGGGAGTTGTGCTACTATGGAAAATGAGTTTTATTGTGTGCTCAAAGCTGTTTTTCCCTCTAAAAATCATGGTGTTGCGTAGCTCCAAGGCCTTCCAAGGAGAGATGCCTGTTTGGGTGGATCTATCAGTATTTGATTCAAGTAGTAAATGGAGCCAGCGTTTATTTTCTGTGATCATGCATTTCCCCAAAACACCCGGCTGGAATGTCACCCATGCGTGACCCTGTCTTTATCGGAGCCGCACTCCTCCTTCAAGCCATCTAGGCAAATACATCTGTGATGTGTGTGTGTGCTTAACTATGCCTGTCTCCTACAGGGCTCCTCGCTGCCAGGACTCTCCATCTAAGCACCTGAGTGGGCTGGCCGAGTCGGAGGGGTGCCCAGCAGAGCGAGGGCAGAGGAAGGCTCTGGGGGGGCAGAAGGTAAGCGAAAGGTTACTCGTCACACCCATCCTGCGCCCCAGAGCCGTCCCACTCCCCACACGCCCTCGCCTGGCTGGGCAGACCCCACACGCAGGCTCCGCTCCTCCTGCGTTAAGTGCTTGGGTTGTGATTTGTCTTTCAGAATTGGAACCAGAGCAGCCATTCGGCTGTGGGCAGGAAGCAGCCGCACAGAGCGCAGCTTTGGATCCTTCTGGAGGGAAATCGAGTTATGGATTATGGTCCGGGTCAAGCTCAGCCCAGCCCAGCCCAGCCCAGCCAGGGGCGGGCTCAGCGGCAGCCAGAGTTGTGGCAGCAGCGGAGGCAGCGGCAGCG